TTGAACGACATTACTGCTAGCCCATTATGAGAGGAGTTGAGGCCCTTGCATTAGGTCACGTACGGCTTGATGGCAGGACATATGAGCCTGAATCACCATTGGTATATTGGCAGCTACCCTATCAAAAGTGCATGGATAGAAAACTAATACTTTATTTGCTAGGATATTAGGCCACATGTAAGAGCAGTTCCAGCCCAAGGCATTTGGACCGGCACCAAGTGAAAAAAATAGGCCGAGACTCTGTCCATCACCTCCAGCCCGCCAAATAGGCTGGCACCCAGCCCAAGCCAGGCAGCAGCCCAGCCTATTTCGGACAGACCCAGAAGCCGGTCCATTTCCCTGGCGCGTGCACAACACGCGCGACTAGGCGCGAGTAGCCGACAGCCCTTGCAGGCGGTGGGGCCCGCGTGCAGGGCAACTTGCGTTCGACCGGCTGAGGGCTACGTGGCCCTCCTCAGAGTCGTTGGATTTCCAACGGCTAGTTTTTGTAGGCCGTTGGATTTCCAATGGTAAAAAAAATTTAAATTTGACTTTTAAATTGGACCGTCTGATCACAGATCAACGGTCCACGTTTTTTTCACCAAAAAAAAAAAAAAGGCCCAACAGTTAGAAATTTGACCGTTGGCCACGTGGCAGCTGGTTGGCTGTTGGATTTGATTATTTTTCAAATCCAACGGTCCAGATTAATTACAACATTAAAATTTATTAAAAATTAATTAAAAATTGTGAAATTTTTTTAAAAAATGCAGAAAAATTTTAAAAAAATAATTTTTTTTCTATAAATACCTAACCCTTATCTTCCACATTATACCACATTTCAATATTTTCTACACTTTCTACACTTTCTACATTTGAATATTTTGTACACTTTGAGAGAAAAAAATGACTTCGTGGAAGCTCAGTGAAGATGTTACGTTGTGTGAATGTTGGGTTCGCACTACTCATGACCCGATTACGGGTAATGAGATGGATAAGCGAGAAATGTGGAGTAAAATTACGAAATCGTTTTGCGATGTACATGGAAAAGATGTACATGGAAAAGATGCCAGATCTAGTCAAGGTCTTCAAGGTCGTTGGAAAAAACTCAACGCATCCTTTACTTGTTGGAAAAACGCCCTTTCTCATGCTTCTGGTAATCTGCGTAGTGGGATAAGTTTAGCGGATGAGGTAACAATATTTTTATTTATTTATATGCATTTCACCCACATCAATATTTTAATTTATTTAATTTCTTATGTAATTTTTATGTAATATGCATTCCACGCCCATCAATATTTTAATTTATTTATTTGTGTTACACCCACATCAATATTTTAATTTATTTAATTTCTTTTATGTAATTTCTATGTAATTTCTTATGTAATTTATATGCATTCCACGTCCATCAATATTTTATGTTACACCCGTATTTTTTAATACTATCTTATCCCACATTTTTATAGACAATACAAGCACAAGCATTCTACAATGCAAAGAACCATAACAAATCATTCAACAAATGGGAATGTTGGCAAATTGTCAAAGATTGCCCTAGATACAAAATTGTGGCAACCGGTCCAGAAGTTGTCATGCACGGTATGAGTCTACACAGTTCGCCAGAAGCAGACACAGCCGAACAAGAAGCCAACACATTTGAAGACACGGAAGGGACGCTTGAACAAGTGCCAGAGACCCAACTGACTCATCAGTCACTCAGGCCTCAAGGTAAAAAGGCATCAAAGAAAAAAGGTAGTTCTTCCAAAAATGACTACACTAAATATATGAAGGAACTTACTCGTCAAGGTGAACTGAACATGGCATGGGAAAAGGCTAGAGATGAGGAAAAAGCTACTGCTATGGCAGCAATAATAGCAGCTACTGAGGCTCGTGATGCGGCGGCTGAGAGACAAAGAGAAATAGTTAATCGAGAGAACGAGATGATTAGAAAAGCACTTCATCGAGAGAATGAGATGCTTAGAGAAGAAAGGATGACTCAAACAGATCGTGACACTATGAATAAGTCTCTAGTAAGACTATCTCCGAATTCAAAATATTTTTGGACATCAGAAAAAAGAGATGTCGTGCGAAGGAGGCGTGCAAGAGATGCCGAAACAAGTCAAGGGGGTTCCAGCTACAGAAATCCTAGCAACCAAGATCCTAGCACCACATATCCTAACTCCACAGACTTTGTATAATTTCGCATTTATTTGTACTACTTTATTTAATTTCTTATGTAATTTCTTATTTATTTTTAGAACTTTATTTAATTTCTTATGTAATTTCTTATTTATTTTTAGAACTTTATTTAATTTCTTATGTAATTTCTTATTTACTTTTAGAACTTTATTTAATTTGTTATGTAATTTCTTATTTACTTTTAGAACTTTAGTTAATTTCTTATGTAATTTCTTATTTAGTTTTAGAACTTTAGTTAATTTCTTATGTAATTTCTTATTTATTTTTAGAACTTTATTTAATTTGTTATGTAATTTCTTATTTACTTTTAGAACTTTATTTAATTTCTTATTTACTTTTAGAACTTTATTTAATTTCTTATGTAATTTCTTATTTACTTTTAGAACTTTAGTTAATTTCTTATGTAATTTCTTATTTATTTTTAGAACTTTATTTAATTTCTTATGTAATTTCTTATTTACTTTTAGAACTTTATTTAATTTCTTATGTAATTTTTGTACTTTATTTAAATATTTGAATAAGATTACATAAACTCACCAAATAAACATTTAAAAAAAAACACCAAATAAAATTACATAACCTCACCATTTAAACTTAAAAAAAAAAAAACAAACACACTAAATAAGATTACTTAAAAAACAATACACTTTATTCTTCAACCACAAGCCTTATTTTAATTATCTTTGCCTTCGTGCAATCTCCACTGATGGTCAATCAAGTCATTCTGGCGGGTTATGTGCCAGTATGGCTCTTGCAATGAAGTGTACCGTTGAACGATCAATTCATTGTAACGTCCATCCCGTTCCAACGACTCGTGTTGCACGGGATCTTCGGTCCGGTCATGAGCATAGTAGATTTGTGTTCTTGAGTTGTTCATCGGATCTGGCTCATCGACGGCATCATAATCATACTCGTCTTCAACAATCATGTTGTGGAGAATAATACACGTCATCATGATGGATCGAAGAGTCTCGACATCAAACATTCTAGCTGCAGCCCTGACAATGGCCCAACGAGCTTGCAGGATACCAAAACAACGCTCAACATCCTTCCTACGCCCTTCTTGACACTTTGCGAAGTGTTTCTCTTTTTCACTCTACAGATGTGGCACTGTTTTGACAAATGTTGACCACCTTGGGTAAATACCATCTGCAAGGTAGTATGGTCCCTCGTATTTATTACCATTAACCCAATATGTGCATCTCGGCCCGTTTCCTTGTAGCAGTTCGTCAAACACTGGAGATTGGGCAAGGACATTTAGGTCATTCTGAGCTCCTGGAACACCAAAAAAAGCATGCCAAATCCATGTATCAAAAGAAGCCACCGCTTCCAAAATGATGCTTTTGGCTCCTTTTCTGTCGCCATAAGCTCCTTGCCACGCACTTGGACAGTTTTTCTATGTCCAGTGCATGCAGTCGATGCTTCCAATCATGCCAGGGAAGCCTCGCATCTCACCCTTCCTTAGAAGCCTTCGTATGTCCCTTGGCGTGGGTTGCCGAAAGTACTCATTGGTGTAGAGGGCTTCAATTGCAGAGCAAAACCGCATCAGGGACTCCAGAACTGTTGTTTTTCCCATCCTTGCGATCTCATCCACTTAATCTGCAGATGCTCCATATGCAAGCATTCGCAAGGCAGCCGTAATTTTTTGCTCAGGAAGAAGACCTAGAACATGAAAAACATCCTCTTTTTGCACAAAATATGGATCATGGTTGCAAACATCACTCATGATTTTATCGAACAAACTTCGTTGCATTATAAAACGACGTCTAAAAACATAATCAGGGAAAACGCTGTTGGGAATAAAATAATCTTCCAAGAAATCTTTACCTCGTCTTTCCCTTCTTCTATCGATGTTTGCCGCACGTCTGAGTTGGGCTATCTGACCCATAGCTTCCATGATACGGCAGGAATGTGAGGCCCTCCGCCTTCTATGGTGATCATCCTCATTCTCCTCCATTGCGAAGACCTCATCTCCACCTCCACCTTGGTCAAGATTGACCAATTCTTCCTGTTGTGCCAACAACCTTTTCTGCTGCTCTTGCAACTGTTTATACGCTCTCCTTGAAGAAGACATTGTAAGAACTCAAGATTTGAAAACAATAAAGAAGAATTCTGAGCTAAAAAAAAGGATTGAGTTTAGTGTGAGGATGGATGTAGGGATGTAGGGTTTATATGGACAAAAAAAGAAAAGATGAGGTTCTGGACAATGCCACGTGGCACTACGTGATTGGTTGAAAATCTTATCGAAATCTTGGCTAAATTATTGTAAATAGGAAGTGACACGTGGCGTGTCGGGATTGGTTGAAAATCTTATTAGAAATCTATCTACAAAATAGTACGTTCGGATAATGACACGTGGCGTGACAAGATTGGTTAAAAATCTTATCAAAATCTTGCCTAAATTATTGTAAACAGGAAGTGACACGTGAGTTGTCGGGATTGGTTGAAAATCTTAGCGGAAATCTATTCAAAAAATAGTACATTCAGATAATGACACGTGGCGTGACGAGATTGGTTAAAAATCCTATCCGAAATTAAAACTTTTTATTTATTTATTATTTTATAAAACAATTATTTAATATTTTAAATGGACTGGGTGCCAGCACATTTTGTAGGGGTGGAGATCGTTTGTACCAGCGTATTTTTAGACTGAGTGCCAGCACATTTATTTTGGGGTGGAGATGCTTTGGCCTATTACTGTTCATTAGGGTCTATTACTGTTTATTGAAGTGGATAAATGGGCTTGATGCTGGTGCAAAGTCTTAGGGGGTGGAGTTGCTCTTGATAAAACGCCATCGTCTAAGCAAATTATAGAAACAAAAATAGGGCAAACTGTCTTCTTTTGTGCCGCCGGTTTATAATTTCTTCTCTGCTAGTAATTTTTCTTTTTCACAAATAGCCCAGCCAGTTATCGGCGGAAGCAGCAGCAGCAGCAGCAGGCAAAGATTCAACCTTGATTTGGTTTGGAGCATAGGACGCCATGGCCGAAGAAACCCATCTGCCAGAAGCAGCAACAGAGCCAAGGAAGAGGAAAATAGGGAAGAAGAAAGGCTCCAAGGCAAAGAAGAAGGCGAAGATGTTACATTCGTCAGAGGAAATCAGAGCCATGAAGCCGAAGAAGTTTAACAATAAAATGAAGAAACTGTTTCTGAAACGAGCTAAGGACTACAATTCGGAGTCGGAGGAGGAGTCCAAACAGGAAGATGTGAAACCGAAACCGTTGGGAAACAATGAGGAGGAGCCGAGTGGCGGTGCCGCGTCGTCTTCAGGAGAAGAGTCGGAGGAAGGTGGTGGTGGTGGTGGTGGTCGCAATAGGGGTGATGGAGTTTCAGATGACGAGGAGCACGGCGAGATTCTGCCCGGAATCATGAAGTTTTCGGAGGGTTGCAATGCGTTTAGGTTGGCATTCAGGAGTATAATCAAGAAGTCAGTTTCTCTGAATGCAGTGGTGAGTTATATAGAGTTGAGCTGCTATGTCTAATTGTTTAGTTTTTGTGTCTTGACTCTTCAATAACAAAATTTGATTGCTTTACAGGGACCGGTGATGTCGGCGCACAAGAAGCTTGTTGCAGAAAAGCTTGCCGAGGAGCAGACGGAGCGCAAGGCCAAGGGCGAGGCTAAGAAGGAAAAGCATACGGTAGTTCATATCTTCGATTTGTTTTCAATTGTAATGTGTATGTATCAACATTATGCTTGAGAGGTTTAATGCTTATTTGTTTAGATCGTTTTGATTTGATAGGTGATAGAAAAGGGGCATGTGATGCCGGCCAATTATTTGGACACGCATGAAAAGTTTCTAATCGGTGTTGCTACTAAAGGAGGTACCGGAATTTTTTCCCTTTGGTTAAGATATATTTGATCAAGTGTTATTTGTCTTATGGGAGTTATCAAATTTCTTTCTCATACTGACTTAGCTCACATTTACCATGTACAATGCTGGATGTGCAGTGGTGAAGTTGTTCAATGCTGTAAGTTGCCTTATGTGAATCTAATTGTTTGCTTGTTTTTGAATTGGGAGTTTAAAAGTTTTAAGTTTTGTAAGATTGTTTTTGTTGCGCCGCATTGAGTCATGAGCTTGTGTTCGTGTCTAATGCAGGTCAACAAGGCACAAAATGCTCAGAAAGGACTGAATCCATCCAAGTTTAAAGATGCCAAAGGTGTGTTCTGACTTCTTAGTACTGCAGCTACAATTTGAGACCTTCAGTTTTGCTGAGGCCCTCTGTTTTGCCAATTTATTTTGTTGAGTTTCAGGTATCAACTATGTGGTTGAGTTAGTTTTGAATTTTAAACTGATAGGGAAAGCAATACGTTTTCATCATATCACAGATAGTGTTGAACTGTTTTGTGATTTTATGTTTATTCCTGCGTCTCTGAGTAGCCGTATGGATTGATTTGGATTTCATACATGGCTTTGTTAGGAGGCAGATATTAATTCAGTGTTTTGTGGCGAGGCCTTTTGAGGGGACTCTTTGTCTCTTCCCCGTCAATTGTCCTCCAAGCAGCCTCGCACATTCTCTAATTAACCGAAAAAAAGAATGCTGTCATCTTATGATTTATATTTTTCTCATAGACCGTGTATCAATGCCAGTTTTTTAACGTTTTCTTGAGGTATCCTATTTTTCACATAATTTGATTGCCTTTTAAAACCTTGGTTTGAATCATGAATGTCTTTTGAGCACAAATTCACCATTAGCATTCAAACCCTGTAAACAAAGTGTATTCTGGCAAGTTATTTATGCTTATTGAAATTCAGTTTACACAAATCTAACTGATCATTTTGGTCTATTAATTACTCCTATATTTGTCGGTGAGACACATGGAACACATATTTCTCTGCTGGCAGTTGCAAATTTTGAGTTTAAATGTGTAAATCTCTGTTCTGAATGTGTGTTTAATCTCCCTATATCGTTGTCCAAATGTTTCCAGTGATAAAAAAGCGGAGGAAAGAAGCATTCTTTTCAGAGTTGGGCAAAACGTCTTCGAAGGTCAGCTACTTTTTTTTTTTTTTTTTCAGTTCCTTGCATTCTCCCACATCATTTTTACCATCTTGATCTTCCTTACTGGGGAAGGTATGGTTGTAGACATTCTTGTTTCTTATTTTCAATGATTTGAACAATCAAATAGACCATTGCTCCAATTCTGTTTGGAGGATCTGATGTTGAAGGTCCTTTTCTGAAATATATTTATCTTCCAACCACCTGGTTCCATTAAATTGTTGGTAGTGCCAAATTGCTAAAGTATATTTTCTTAATTATTCTTTTGTGGGCTTTATATGTGAGAATGATTTAACATGCAGGCTCATGCGTCTAAAGGCGCAGTGGATGGTGAAGGGCCAGCCTGGGCTCCCTTAAGAGATAATTACATGCTCACAAATCCCAAATTGAAAGACTGGAATAAGATGCCGGTAAGGATCTTTAATCACATCTTGTTAAGTGTTTCACCGGTCAAAGACACTCGCGTGCTCTCACTTAAACATGTGCGCGCATACACAGTGCACTTGTAGTTGCTATTATGTATTCTGGTGACATATTGCTGTAATTTGCATACAGGACACCGTTGTGGAAGATGACATTGGAAGGGTCGCTGGAGATAGTTCCGATGACGATTGATGCTGTGGAACTGCACGAACGGCTGGAGATAGTTCCGATGATGATTGATGCTGTGAAACTGCACAAACGGCTATGTGCTGATTGTGTCCTAGGCATACTTTTTTGTAAACACTACCGTGTTATCCTTGTTGCTACTGCACAGGAGGAGTTTTGTTTTCGATTTCTATTAATGTTATAAATGAGTGCTTTCTGATGCAATTAGCGAAAATATCCTGTTTTTCTCGCTCATTTTGTGCAAAATTTTCTTTTACCTTCAGAAGATTTTGGAGAAGCAGCTCACAGAAGCAATGAATAAACTCGCAGTTTACATTTGCAAGCGAAGCGGAATATATTTTTGCGTACATTACAATGATGTGCAACAAAACACCGGACTTTCTTAGCATCCAAAAGGCGTAAACTGAAATCCGAAAGAAACTACGTTTTGTCCTGCAACCGAAAGAACGGTGCAAAATTTATTGACAGTACATGAGATGCTACACACTAGAATTACAAGGTGAACTGTATTCCAATTAAGATACTACATCTTACGGCAACGGCAGCGAATTAACATCCCCCTCCTCTTATCGGTATAAAGAAACTACAAACTAATCTCCCTAAACTGCATATGTAAACCATCCCGTTCTTGTCTACCCAGGCCAACAAAAATGAAAGAGAAATTTACAAGTCCGAGTTTAACTCTTAGGTCAGAGCTCATAACACTCAACGGCATACGTACAGATCATGTGCATGTCAAATGAACAGAAAAAAGGGGGAAAATAGCAATCCAAGGCTAACCTAATGACCGGAAACTACAAGTTCAGCTGCAAAGACGCCATGGCAGCCGCTTTTTATAGGAGTCATCGGAGCAGGAGGACAAAATATAATAACAGGGATAATCAAGGCATCAAGCATAGTAATGGTTTGGAAGACCAATGTGAATCCTCCAGGGAGAATAATTGAACAGATGAACTTCGGCCAGAGAAACATAAAAGGGAAACGAACGCTCTGAATAATGTCACGATCAGTCAATCTGTCATGGTGATTAGAATCAGAAATCTGCTCCTCCACTTTATTAGTGAAGCATCAGAACCTGGCCGTTTGCATCAACCCTTCTCTTTCAATGAAACCAAGGCCCTGTGATACAATCATACAGCTTTTCACTGCACAAGGAAAAGATGCATCAACTTCATCTACCATTGCGTAATAAGGATCAAATCGTCTTTTATATTATATAACATTGTTAAAAATTGTACTCAGTAGCTTCTGGTTCTGGCCTGGTTCAAAGGGTCATAGTCATAAGCTTCACCAGCTTTAATGAAGCGGCCCTTGACACGCTTTCTTACATCAGCCCGTGCTTTGCGAGAAGCATACCTCACCCTTTTCTCAAACCTATCGAAAGGACAACAGAAAATATAGATGTTCAATAGATAGCATGAAATTTCATAACCAAATAAGACTTCCGTCAAAGTGTAACCACTTCATCCAGAGGTAAGTATAGAGTGAAATCAAGGTATCCTACATGGTTAAATCTCTATAAACGGCGAATAATAAGAAACAAACATACGACTACTCCAAGAAGTGATCAAACAAAGTGGCAAAGAAACTAGAAAACGATTGCTGGCTTAATAAATGAATGAAGAACAAATAGTGGTTTGTGTGTGCACGCTTGCTAATATATTTACTTTTTGGAGTACACTTACTTGCGAGCCTTCTTCTTTTCCTTGTAACGCATAACAGCATTATTACGGTTAGCTGACTGCATGGAACTCTCAGGGCAAGGATGACACCATGGCGGCTCTCCCATGAGAAGCTTTGAGGACGCTCCACAATCTTGACAATCACCAGCACTACTCTCTCCAGTGACGCCCGAAAACGAAAGGTTTGAATGTGCTTGTTTTGCTGGAAAGCAGATAACTGGATCAGTTTTCGTACTCATTACAGAATCAGCAGATGCCGCGTTACTGCACGCTGGCTGTGGAGCATTTCCCAGTCCAATTGAAGACCCCTGGAAAAAAGCACTATTAGTTAACTACAAATACATTTTATAAACTCAAATCTGGACATACTTTACCAACTACGTTAAGAAATATTCAAAAGAAAAACCCAAAAAGTTCAGAACGGCTACTTGTAAGATAAAGAAAGCAATTTTTAGTTATACAGTAGTCTAGTCTAAGACAAGCGCCCAGGCAATGAACAAAAACAGATGTCGAAAGTCCGAGCATCATAAAGCACGAAAATAAGGAGACAAAATTACCTCAGCAGCAACCGCATCTTGACAATCCCTGGACACGTTCTTTGCCCCAAACAAGCTATCAATCCCGCCATTCTTGAAAAGCTCTTCAGAGTGATTGAGAGATACACCAAACAGTTCTTCATAATTTTCAAGATTCAATTCCATTTCATCCATATCTAAATCATCATAAAGGTCATCGTCTTCGGGGAGTCCAGTACCTTTGCCCCCATGAGAGTACAGCTGTATAATCATAACACGAAATTCCAAAGGTCATTGATGAAGAAACTTCAAACTTAGAACAAAATCATACACATGACTGTACCCAATACTGTATTAAGATCATAATTTTGGAATAAAAATTACCTTAGGCAATGAAGCATTTACAGATCCGGTCAGCTGGCCAACAACATGACGAGCATGACTACGTTCAGGCACCGAAGAGGAACCAACCAGAATACCAGATTTCTCCATTGAATGCGCAGCATTCACTTCATCCGCACCAGATGCACTTTGCCTAGTGTTACTTTCAGTTTGGCTCCAATCACTTCTGGTGCCGTTATCAGCGATGCTCATCAATCCCATTTCCTGCTCGCAAGTAGATTCTCCGTTAAAAGGTAAATCTGATACGAATGACCAGATAGACGACAGTTCGGCAGATGATGGGCAGCCGGAGTAACAATTGAGGGTTTGCCTCTTATGTCCAGATGCTGAAGTCGATGCTTGGTGACCCATCCAATCACAATTCTGACAAAGAGACACTCTCTCTTCTGTGCATCTAACTGATGCAGGTTGTGAATTGCATCTTTCGCAAAGAAGTGTTCTCAAGTGACGCCTAGACAGGGCATTTGCGGAGTGGACATTTCTGTCACACGATAAACACAAGCATGCCGCATCAGACCGGCAGTGCACCATGGACCTTTGAACCTGGCAGTAGTCACACAGGTAACCCATGGTTCAACTTTTTTCTCTCTTCTAATCAAATCTTCTCCAATTTATCCAAATTGAATGCGAATCCAACCGAAACTAGCTTCTCAGAAAGACCACAATTCTGCCGAGTGTATCTCACTACAACCTTCAAACAACATCATTAACACAAAATCAGTATTACTGCTGTAAAAAGATCTTACAAGAAGAACACGAACAAGTTTTCGTAGAGAACAAATTCGAAACAAGAACAACAAAAAGGTTCGTTTTTTGCCTATTGAAACAGGGAAGTTACTATGTCAATTGTAGGAGATGCTATGATTACTAATCTGAAAAATTGGTTAAAAAAAATGGATCTAAATATCTAAAACATCCTTTCAAACAAGAGCTTCACAAACATGTTTATTTTGTTAAAAAAAAAAAAAAAAAAAAAAAGAAAAATTCATACAAAAACCAAATTTGCAGATGTATTTGGACAAGAAAATATAATCAGAAAGTTGAAAAAGCAAAAGCCTTTAACAAACTTGCATCACCAAAAACACAAAAGGTAGAATATTTTGGGTGAATTTAACAGATTAAACAAGTTTTGCAGCAAAGATTTTGGCTTCAAATTTCTCTTCAAAACAAAAAAATGAATAAAAGGGTAGTTCAATTAGGCCCTATATATTATTTCTTCACCATCTGATTTTTCAGATAAGAATTATCAGACCCACCAACAGAGGAAATATCAAAGTAAATCCATTACAAACACCCAATAAAACTTTGAAGTATAAATAAGCCTGAAAAATAGTAACAGAAAACAAAAAACCAACAGACAGAGAGAGCATTCGGGGAAACCTTACCAAGAGAAAGGGAGAGGAGGATAAGATCTGTAGACAAACAGCTTTTGATATTTCTGAAGGACTCCTAAAGATATGAACTTTTTGGGGTTTTTTCACCCAAATTTGTTGTTCTTTCTTATGTGGAGATGGAAAAGATAGAAAGATTGGGTTGGGGAGGAGGGGTGGGTGTGAGCATAAGCTTAATGTTGTTGTTTTGGTGTCAGAGGGGCTCCAAAAGATGGTGACTTCAGCAAAGTTGATAAAAAGTGCATTACTTGTGTGGGTCCCTGTCATTTTCCTAGTGCAGGGAAAAAGTTAGGCCCTTCACTTTTCTAGGTCCCCCCATCGTATAAAACTGATATTTAATTTTGAAGCTAACTCCCTCTTAATATCTCTCTGATTCTCTGTTTTATCTTTGGGATTTTTTGGGAATTTTTTATTTTCCTTTTTGGTATATGGAAATAAGGTGTACAAGTTGTCAAAAGTGCTTCCACATGGTCCTTAATCTAATCCCACATGATTTGGCATGTCATGTGTCCTAATCACTTATCTTACATCTGTCCCTAGATTTTCTGTTTATTTGTTTTTCTTTTTCCCCTTGGTCTGATTTTTTTACATTTTTTTTTTTGATGATTTTTTGTTTTTGTTTATGGTTCTTTTCTTTTTTTGGTTTATTTTCTTACAAAGTAATGTTCTAAACTAATCTAGATAGGATCATATAGAGCTAATTCGACCTTTTAATATCTTAACGGTTGATGCAAAGTTTTAATTAGAATTTAAATAAAATTCTTACACTTGACAAAAATAAAACTCTAATCTGGTTTGTACGAACAGAGATTTGACTTCAGATCTAAGTGTAAACACAATGGATTAGACAACCGACTTAACTTACACATGTCCCCTTTTTTCGACTGATGACAAAATAATATTCTTATTAACAAGGTAGGATATCTGAATTCCTATGAAAAAAGACGGACACATCATCTTCGTCCACTGACCAATTCACATCCGTTTCGATATTTGATTTGAGTTTTCGTTTGATTTTGATGTCTTAGACGGCCATCCAATCCAATCTTAGGGTATTTTTCTTTTGCACTCTCTTAATTTGCTACTACATCCCCAAAATCCAATCCTTAAAGCTCTAGAAACCTTCATATGAGTGTTGATGAGGCAACTTGATATCAACAACACAAAGACACCCCAAAAAGTGAAGGCAAAGTCTCCATATACAATTATTAATT